GGGGGCTTAGAACTGCGCGCCTCCCGTCCCCTCTCAGGCCATGCATCAGAAGGGCAGCACAGATGGCCGGGCACTCGGAGCCAGGCGGGCTCCCTGCTGCAAACCCACCTGCCTGGGGAGCTGCGCTGCCAGAAAGGGGAGCTGCCTCACCGGAGAGCCTCCCGCCGGTCCTGGTGCCCTGTCCCCTCCTGAGCCCTGCCTCCTACTCCTGTTCTCAGGCTACCCTGCCCACATCGCAGCACAGGTGTAGACACCACTCTGGGAAGACGCTAACCTGGAAGCCAGGGAGCCCCTCCAGGTGGGCTTGCTAGGGCTATCTGGCCCAAGAGCAGCTCTCACCCAGCATCCGAGCAGAGCTGCCCAGCCCCCGTGGGGAGGCCCTGGCCAAGATGGCCAGGGGATGGAAGGCCGGATGATGGTAGCTCAGCACCCATGTAACGGATTGGCAAAAGAATCCACAAACTAAGGGAAGCAGGGTGTGCGAAAGAAAGAAATTCAACCCAAAATGCAGGCGGGGAGGCTAATCAGCAACAGATGGGGAACCAGATTGCGCAAGGGGTGGGGTGGGGTGGGGGGCAGCCTCTTCCTAAAAATCCGTCTTCGCCTTCTCATCTGGCTCTGGGGTCCTAGCATCTGTGGCTGGCCTTACCCACAGCCCTGGCTCTGCCTGGGCGAGCTCTGTTCCCCTGATCCTCCAGAGGAGACCCGGCTTAGAGAGGCCTCAAGAGCAGGGCAGCGTCCTGCCCAGTGTCCACCGCGTGGAGAGGTTCCCCTGGCCACGCACGGTAACAAGCCCTTTGCTGTCCCTCAAACCCAGCGCACGAGGACACACTGACTGCAGATCCGCTCCCGCAACCCGGCCCCAAGAGTAGAGACTGTTCCTAACAACAAAGCCATGGCGCTGGGCTGCTGAGAGGTGAGCCCCTGCCCAAGGACATGCTTGCGGGGCTTCCCAGCCCAGAGCCCAGAGCAGAGGCAGAGCTGGGGCTGGGCCCCCATGCAGCATGCAAGGCCAGCATGCACTGCGTGCTCCCTGCCGCAGGTCACCCTTTCAGGGCTGGGCCTGTGGTTATGGTGACAGCCCAAAGGCTGTGGACACCCTGTCGTATGCCGCTGCCACCCTGAGGGGTCCATCCTAGGCAAGAGCCTAGGAGCCCATTGGAAACCCCCAGCTTCGGCGGAAGCAGCTGCAGCTGCAGCTCCAGAGAGGTCTGGGGCCTCGGGGAGGGAACCTCTTCCAAGGCATCTTCCTTCTCAGGGGGTGGTCCGAGGGGAACCAGGGAGAACATGCTGGATCTCCTCGGCTCCATCCTCCACACACCCTGGCTGCCCAAGCGCTGAAAGGGTGAGCCCCGAGCATGCTTTCTCCCAGAGCATCTCCCTCCTGCTCCGCCCTGGCTGGGCTGGCCTGCGCAGGCATCGCCCTGAGCCATGCCCATACCTCCGCTGCTGGTACGGTACCTGCGGTTGGAGTGGCTTCAGAACACAGCACCCAAGATGGCCCGAGAGAGGGAAAAGCATGAGAGAGAGGAGAGAAACAGAGGGACAGGTGAGATCACAGGACAAGCAAGCAGAGAAGGTGCTGGCTCCAACGGACCCCGAGGTATGCAGGACCCTGGGAAATGCCCCAGGGGTCCGCCGCCACGCTCCAGCAGAAAGCGGCACCCCTGGTGTTCCAAGCTCCTCACATGCTCTGCTCTCTCTCCCCCAAGGACTGGCGAGGGAGGTAAGCCCACCCAGGGCTGGAGGTCAGCGCTTCCCCCAGGGCTGTGTGCTGCCCGGCCTGGTGCGACAGCCCTTCTGTTCCAGGCTGCTGATCTTCCATGATGGCAGAGATCGAGGACAGTTGGACACTCACCCAGGCCAAAGGATGGGTCAGGAGATGCTAAGGGGTGTTGGGGTGGACAGGGAGGAGCGTGTTCATGGGAAGCCTCCCACCACCAACTTGGTCTTGGAAGGTCCTTCTAGCTCAGCTGGAAGCCTCCGACCTGCCTACTGCTGCCCTAGCTGTCCACGGAATAAGAACATGACTGTAGACCAGCGGTTCTCAGCCTTCCGAATGCCGTGACCCTTTCATACACTTCCTCATGGGGTGGGGACCCCCAACCATAACATTATTTTCGTGGCTACTTCATCACTGTCATTTTGCTGCTGTTATGAATCGGGCGGCCCTGTGAAAGGTTGAGAACACTGCTGTAGATGACAAGCCTAGGCGTGCCGGAGATCTCTCATGGGCCACTCTGCTGGGAAGAGCACCACTCTGTTCTCCTGTCCCCTGGGCCTGC